GAGGCACTTGAGATCATATTGCAAACATATGTTGGCTACTGGAATGTATCAAAGAATTTCAAAAGAAATTCAGTCTATGCTTTATAGACTACAACAAAGCATCTGACTGTGTGGCTCATGAGAAGCTATGAATGGTCCTGAAAGGCATGCGTGTGTCTAGGTGTTTGATTGTCCTGATGGACCTGTATCATGGACAAGAAGGATAGAATGTGGGGAAACAGAATGGTTTCCTTATAGGTGAAGGCATCAGACAACGGTGTATTTTGTTCATTACATTTGCAGAACATTACTTAAGGAAAGCTGAATTAGGATCAGAGGAAGGTGTGGGAATTTGCAGATCTATCACTAATTTAAGATATGCAAATGATATGCAGGAAGCAACACTGAAGTGAAACAACTTCTGATGAAACTGAAAGAAGAAAGCACAAAGACAGAACTGTAGCTGAATATTAAGAAAGCAAAAGGCCATGACTAACTTAATGTCAATGATGAAGACACTGAAATTGTGAATGATTTTTTATATCTTGGCTCAGTCATCAATTCAAACAGAGACTGTAGCCAAGAAACAATAAAACTGAGACTTAGAAGAGCAGCAATAAAAGTTCTAGAAAAGAAATGTAAGGCATTTCACCAGAGACCACGGCTAAGATCATCTATACTATTGTATTCCCAATCACTATATATAGGTTCTTTAAGAGCCAGTTAAAGTGTAGGACAGGAACTTGGGAGATCTGGGATTTAGTTCTCACCCATCCATGAAGCTATCTGGGTGACTTTGAGCCAGTTGCAGACTCAACCTAACCTATCTCACAAGGCTGTTGTGAAGATAAAATGGAGAAGAGGAGAAATGTATAGGTCACCTGAGGTTCTCTGCAAGAGGATGAAAGGCAGGGTAAATGTAATAACAAATGTAAGGGTATGATTGCTGGACACTGAAGCAAGCTAACAAGAAGCAAATGCCTGCATTCAAAATGGTACTGGAGGAGTTTTGGGACTATCCTGGAATGACAGAAAATATGAACAAGTGGGTCCTAGATCAAATTAAGCTAGAGCTTTCCCTGGAAGCAAGAAAGACAAACTATTGTACGTACTTCAGGCACATCATGAGAAGGCAAGACTCACTGGAGAAGACAATCATGCTAAGAAAAAACCAAGACAGAAGAAAAGGAAGACCAAGAATGAGATCAATTGATTCCATAAAGAAAGCCACAGCCTTGAGTTTATAAGAATTGAGGATGCTATCAAGGTCAGGACATGGAGAACATTCTTTCATATAGGGTTGCCATAAGTTGCGAACAACTTGTCAAGAACAATCATGCCAAAAAACTGAGATCTGCCAAGGGTGTTCTGTGTCCCAACATCAGATGCTGTGTATGATGTGGGAGAGAGCCTTCTTGGCTGCAACTTCTCAATTATGGAATGTCCTTCCTTTGGATGCCAGCTGACATTGATGTTAGCCAGATTGCAGCACTTAGTTAAGACCTGGCTTTTTACCCAAGCCTTTTGGTCTCAATTGACTGTAACTTAGTTGTTGATTTGTTTGACATGTTTGCTTGGACTGCCCATGCTCTTGATAGACTGATTTTATACTGAAGTTGTATTTATCATTGTACCCCACCCTGAGATCACTTAATACAGGGCAGCTTAGAAATAATTTATGAAATAAATAGGCCTCAGAGGGGGAAAGGGAGAAATGGTTCCACTCACCTTTTGCAGGCACTCTTCCCCTAGTTATATTAGAAACAAAAACAAAGGAAATAACCTAGACTCAAACCCACCCTGTCAACTCCTCAGAGCAGCTCCTGAGCTACTTATCTGGAGCAGCAGACAGGAATCAGACACACGAAACAATTTTCTTTCCTCCACACTCAGCCTGACTACCTCCTTGAATAGATCATGATCAAACAGGTTCTAGAAGAAGCTCTCTCATGGTGGAAAGCTCATATTTTATATGCATGGAAGTAACACAGTGAGGGCTGGATCTTGGACCAAAGTCCAGGACCTCCATAGCCCAGGGGACCCCACAGAACCATCCAGAGAACAGCAGGTGATGGCACAATGACATCTGGTCAGTACAGATATTTCAGAACCCACCAGGGCTGACATTACTTGCTGTAGCACCTTTCTTCTTATTTGTAAACATTCCAGAATTAGGGATCAGGCAGCTGGCAGGCACATAAAAGTAACAAGTCAACAACTAAAACACACAGTTCCTGAACCTAGATGTGCAGCAAGCATTTGTGAAGGAGCATGAGAGAAGAGCGAGTTTGGCACAGTATTCACATATAGCAAAGAGGGTAGAAGGCAGACACGAGAGTTCTGATAGTTATATTTTGCAATTAACATTCCACCTTCTCTAGATTACCTGGGTGAGGTATTTTGTCTTGGCACACCTCCTTGTGGAACTGTTAGGATTCTAGGAAAAGAGGAACTCAAATTCTTAAGAGTGTTCTGGAGACAGGTTGCCTGTTCAAAGTGTTCCTCATTTTGTGGAAAATGCCCATACTACAGTTCTCCTTTGTGCACTTCAAGTGTGTAGAACTTGAGACCATAGTGTTGTAGCCTACTGCTGTGTGCTAAGTTGTCATCTACATTATGTACATCCTTGGAGGTGTAGAGGGGTGTTGTGACTCAGTGCTGACTTGCATCATATTTTATATGTTGTTTTGGTGCCATGGAGAGAGTAGCAGTCATTGTTAAGGGGAGGCAGAATTTTTTTACGTTTTTTTATCATTCAACTCAAGGGTGGTGCAAAAAGGTTTCCCCAGCCTGGTTCCCCCCAGATGTGTTGAACTGTGCCTCCCATCTATCCCAACCAGTACTGTCAATTGTCAAGAATTCTAAGAATTGTAGGCCAAAACATATGGAAACCACAAGATCTGGGAAAGCTGATTGTTGTTGTTGTTGGTTGCAAAGTCGCATCCGACCCACCACGACCCCATGGACAACATTCCTCCAGGCTCTCCTGTCGTCCACCATCCCCCAGAGTTCACTTAAGCTCACATCAACTGCTTCAGTGACTCAAAGGCCTCAATTCTTCGGCGCTCAGCCTTCCTTATGGTCCAGCTTTCACAACCATACATTGCAACTGGGAAAACCATAGCCTTGACTATACACACTCTTGTTGGCAGCATGATGTCTCTGTTTTTTAGTATGCTGTCTAGATTTCCCATAGCTTTCCTCCCCAGGAGCAAGCGTCTTTTAATTTCTTGGCTGCAGTCCCCGTCTGCAGTGATCTTGGAGCCCAGGAAAATGAAATCTGTCACTACCTCAATTTCTTCCCCTTCTATTTGCCAGGAAGTGAGAGGACTGGATGCCATGATCTTAGTTTTCTTAATGTTGAGTTTCAGGCCAACCTTTGCACTCTCCTCCTTCACCCACATCAAGAGGCTCTTTAGTTCACTTTCTGCCATTAGAGTGGTATCATCTGCATATCTAAGGTTGCTGATATTTTTCCAGGCAATCTTTATTCCATCTTGTGATTCATCTAGCCTGGCCTTTCTCATGATGTGCTCTGCATATAAGTTAAATAGGCAGGGCAACAATATACAGCCTTGCCAAACTCCTTTCCCATTTTTGAACCAATCAGTGGTTCCGTGTCCAGTTCTCAGTGTTGCTTCCTGAGGAAAGCTGGTACGGACAAGAAAGAAACAGGTCTCAAATCTTTGAGCCCAACTGCCCTTTCTGAGACCCTGTGGGTGCTTTCAGACAGATGGTTTCTAGCACTATCAAAAAGCATTGTGCAGCATTACTTCCAGAATAGTTTGTATGATTAGAAAAAATGAAAGCAGACCTGGGAAAACACATAATGGGATTATCTGGGCCACCATCTGGAAGCACCCTCTGTCCTGTCTTCATTGCAATTATAGTATAATTCTGCTGTTTTCTTCCTAGCAGTTCAACACAATACTTTGAGTACTTCCACAACAGGCTTATATAGTACCATCCTGCCTTATTCAGAGAATTTTACGGGAGGCCCAGATGTCATCATCTTCCACTTAGAGCCCATCTGTTGCATTGCTTTTTTTTTTTTTTTCCATTATTTTGTCAAGCAGGTCTCTAGCACAGTGGTGACGGATGTAATTACAGGGTTCGGAATAATGCATCGCCATGACGGGGATTTTGCCCAAAACAACAGAGACAATCCCATTAGCTGCTTTTAACACTACATTTTCTTCTCAATGCTAAAAGTGACAACTGTACGTGAGAAATAATTGCGAAATCCAGGTTTTTACTGTAGCCTGAAGCAGAGCGTCTAATATCCGAGAAGGGAATTCATGCTCAACCTGTGCAATGGCATGAATTCATTCGGCCGGCGCTTCCCCTTTTCTGTCTTCGCTTGGGGCCCGCGGCTCCGGCTGGCCGTGACTGATGACCGTGCTGCAACTTAGCAGTAGCCCTTAAAAGATGACGCTGGGGCCGCTTAGGGTCTTCATCCCAAAATCCCGCATATAAAGATCAACAAAGGCTCCTTAAATTTCCTCAGACTTCCCCCTCAACCTTCCAGTCCAGCAAACAATTATATATACAGAGGGCTTTTGCCCCATCGACTTGGGCGAAATACACTGAGCTTTTAAATGTTTATAGAGCCACAAAATACTTCGTTTTCACACCAAACAAGACCTAATTCTGAAGCAGGAGAAACGCTTGCCGCTGCTGCCACTGTGTTTTGGATTGTTTCAGGGGGGTTAGCACGCAGCAAGTCGAGCAGAGGTGACCTGAAGCTCATCCAGGTGGGAACGCACGATCATGTCCAAAAGGAGCTCGTAAACTCTCACTCTTAAGTCTCTAGCCCAGGGACCATCCTTCCTTCCGGGAGGGAATCCGAGCGCCTTCCTTCCGTTTCTGCTTGACAAAATGGCGGATGCTCAGCCTGTGTGCAGCTACCTTTTTAAGAAGCGGCGCCCTGCTCCCGGGAGGAGTCAGCGCAAAAGACCGGGAAGTGACCAGGAACCTGGTGAGGAGCTGCTCCGTCTTTGTCTGGTGAAAAGGTAGCGTGAAGGGCATAGTCAGTTGCTGTGTCCCGCCATTCTCCGTGACATCGTGGAGCGTGTGTGTAGTTTCGATCTCTTTGTAAGAAGAGCAGGATGATCTTTGTCGTAGGAAAGCGAACTAGCAAGCTGCTTCTTGAAGGGAAAGTGCTACCCCGAACTATTCTGCATTGGAAACGGTGTGACTGGAAGGGACGTGCCTCTTGAGCAAAGCCACTTGTCTTCGTCGAGGGATCGGGTAAAAGCCGGAACGGTTCCTCTTGTCGTGATACTTCGGTTAACCCCCTAACACCCAGAAGCCAACCGGAACTACCCCTGAACTAATTCAGTGCAATTCAGGAATTCCACACTTTTAGATGAGATTCGCGATCCCCACGGCAAACTTTATTCGGGATAGTAATTCATATTTTGGGGAAATGGCCAGGAACACTAGCTTCCAAATGAGCCAAGCCAACCAAACTTTCCTGTTGCACAAGACCAGAGTGGGTTCATGCAGTAGTTACGGAAGCCACATTCTGGACTGTAACCAGTATTGTGGGGGTGAGGGGGTGGGGATGGAATGCCAGCTTTCCAATGAAACTAATCAATCAAAATGATCCTGCTCACAAATTGAACCCTTCCAAAACAATAGAACTGCTCTAGATCTTTAATTTGCCTGCCCTTGTCAAAACACTGTTTTCCTTTTGGCCAAAACTCTACTGCCAAAATGGGCTTCTCTCTTTTTGTTGAGATTGTAAGATGCCTCCCCTCAAATGTCTTGATTATTTTTAAAAATGTTTCTTAGATGCTCTTCTCCACAGTATTTCAGAGGACACCCACAGTATTTCACCCACAGGATGTGTTATGACTTCCTGTATCAATGTTACACTATCATGAGCAACTGGTGAATTTGGTTGACTTGGCTAGCTGAGATGCTGGCATTCTCAGCTAAATTCTTCAAATATTTTGCTGTCCTTTTAGAAATGTTGTGGCCTGTTGCATTATTCCAGTCTAAACACTTTTTATTTTTTTGGTTTCTTAAATATAATGTAAAGAAAGAAAAATGAAACAGATAAGAATGCTAAGGAATCTTACACAAATACAACATAATTTCATAACCTAGCAAATTCTTGAAAAAACAAATATTTGTATCTTTCTGTCAATCAGTATTTTGTAGAAGCTTGTAAAAAGATAATTATAGTTCTCAAAGCCAATAAGTTTTCCAGTCACTTCATGTTAGCTATAAATGATTGACGGCATAAGATTTGCTCTAAAATATAAATCATCAACAATATTTTATGGGGTCCATTTTGTTCTGTATAAATTGAACTGCATATAATGTTTAAATTCTTCAATCAGTCTTCTGTTTAGGGTTAAGGTCAGGGTTTGATTGGTTGATTTGGCATACTGGGAAGCTGGTGTTCCAAGCTGTTTTTCAGAATAAGTGTTACTGCCCAGAAAAGGTTGCAGGGTTGAAACCTTTGGAAATTGTGTGCCTCATTATATCAACCTTTTCTGGTCTTAATGTGACCAGAGAATTTGGATAGTGTGGCTTGCTTAAAAATTAGTGTTTCAGGCCATTTTCCAGTGTGGTGTAGTGGTTAAGAGCATGGGACTGGGACTCAGACGATCTGGGTTCTAGTCCCCGCTCAGCCATGGAGCCAACTGAGTGACTTTGGGCCAGTCACAGACTCTCAGCCCAACCTACCTCACAGGGTTGTTGTTGTGGAGATAAGATGGAGGAGGAGATGTAAGCTGCCTTGAGCCCTTTGTAGGAAAAAGGCAGGATATAAATTGAACAATAAATAAATAAATATTACCTGGAGTGGGATTCTGTGGAAATTCACAGAAAGCTCATTGCAGAAACTCATTGCACCAATTACTGCTAGTAATTTGTGACTGGTGGATTGAATTCAGTTGAATTAAAATTTGGTAGTTCCTACAGTTTTGTAAACAACAACAAGAACAAGCAATTACTGCCCAGAGTTTGGAATATAGTTTTGTGGATTTTATAGTTTCTGTGCATGTTGTGACTTTTGGCATCACCTGCATCTAGACACATCAACAAGTAAATTTAGTTCTTTTGGCTAGGCCAGAAGCTGGTATTCCAGGCTATATTCAGGAATATGGCCCAAATTTCTGTGAAGGTTTTATGTTGTATCACTCCCATCTAATCATGTGAGGCTGGTGAGTTTGGCTGATTTGATTATCTAAGAAGCTGTTGTTCAGGACCATTCTATTGTGTTTGTTGTGTTCGAGATGACTTTTGGGTGTTAAGAGTTAATAAAAATATAATATTGGAAGGGCTTCATTTCTTAAACAATGTTCTCAAATGTCTAGAATATGCCATATGTATTCATTGTTCATATGAATATAAATATAGCATAGCTAGGAAGGTGGGTCTTTTGGTCAAACAAGGACCTTGTGACCTGGAGAAGGAGTTGCAGTCTACCATTATTTATTTACTTTAGTGTTTTTTGATAATGACTGTGTCTCTCCATATGCTTAACAGGGAGCAGCAGCAGTGATGAAAGCAGCACTGTGGTCAAGAAAGAGAGGCGTAAGGAAGTTTCAAACCCCATGATTCAGAAGGTGATGCATATCTATGTTGCCTGCCAAGAGCATATTTATTTGGAATTTGGAATTTTTGTATGCCATCCCATTCTCATAAGCCTCGGGACAGCTTCCAACATATAAATAAATATCAATACAAATACATACATATAAAATCTGGAAACATCCTGGCACAATCATTTAAAACCAATAAATAAAATCAGCAATTATTAAAATATCATTTAGATAAAAAGGTCTTGGCCTGGCGCCGAAAAACAAATGACGGTGGCGCCAGGCGGACCTCTCTGGGGAGCGCATTCCATAAGTGGGGCACCACCACAGAGAATGCCCTCCTCCGGGTACTCACCCTCCTAATATCTTTCACGGAGGGTTCCCAGAGAAGGGCCTCTGCTGCTGATCTCAGGGGGCGGGAGGGCAAATATGGACACAGGCATTCCTTTAGATATCCAGGTCCGAAGCCATTAAGGGCTTTATAGGTGATAACCAGCACCTTGAATTGGGCCCGGACTTCGATGGGGAGCCAGTGAAGCTGATAGAGGACTGGGGTTATATGAGAACAACGCCCAGTCCTCGTCAGCAACCTGGCAGCTCTATTTTGCACCATCTGAAGTATCCAGACTGTCTTCAAGGGCAGCCCCACGTAGAGCACATTACAGAAGTCCAATCAGGAAGTAACCAATGCATGTGTCACTGTTGCCAGGCAATCGTTCTCCAGGTAGGGACGCAGCTGATGGATCAACCAAAGCTGAAGGAAAGCGCTCCTTGCCACCGCAGTCACTTGAGCTACCAAAGACAGCTCTGGGTCGAGGAGCACTCCCAAGCTGCAGACCCTATCCTTTAGAGGGAGTGCAGCCCCATTCAGGACAAGGTCCAGGTCCCCTACCCCAAAGCCCGAACCACCTACCAACAGGACCTCTGTCTTGTCTGGATTGAGCTTCAGTTTATTGGCCCTCATCTAGCCCATTACCTTGGCCAGGCACCGGTTCAGTGCAGCCACTGCCTCACCTGGATTGGTTGAGAAAGAGAGGTAGAGCTGGGTATCATCAGCATACTGATGATTTCGTAGCCCACACCTCCTGATGACCTCTCCCAGCGGTTTCATGTAGATGTTAAACAGCAAGGGGGACAAAATGGATCCCTACGGAACTCCATGGCATAACTGCCATGGCGCAGAGCCATAGTCCCCCAGCACCACCTTCTGGAATCAGCCATTGAGATAGGAGCAGAACCACTGCAAAGCAGTGCCTCCTACTCCCAATCCCTCTAGCCTATCCAGAAGGATACCACGGTCGATGGTATCGAAATCCGCTGAGAGGTCCAGGAGAACCAACAGGGACACACTCCCCCGTCTCTCTCCCTGCACAGGTCATAATACAGGGCGTCCAAGGCAGATTCAGTACCATACCCAGGTCTGAAGCTGGACTGAAATGGGCCCAGATAATCAGTCTCATCCAACAGTGCTTGGAGCTGTCCATATCAAGATGTTCTCTTCTGGACTTTTCTTGATTTGATATTCCATTCTCCCATCTTCTAGACCAAAAAAACTATGAAGGACAATACCTCATATGGATCAAGTAGTGATGATGAGAACAAGCCTGAAGGAATTGGAGTTGCATATAAATCTACAAGATCTGCGGTATGCTTACTTTAAAGAAGCTGAAACCTCATGGCAGTTCCTATTAGCTTGGCAAGACTTGCAGCTCAATAGCAAGGAAAGTTTCTTATTTCTTACCCCCATCTTATTTACTTGTAAAATTTGGGTATTAACTGAAGAGTTTTGATCAGTTTTTGTGAAACTCTGGTGGGCAATTTTTAGATTATGTTTAGTAAGTCTATCATACTTGCTTATGCAGGCTATTCTCGTGAGTAGCACACAGAGTACAAAAGGCAGTTGGCTCCAGTATCTGAGACAACATTTTGCATCTTGCTTCACTCTTCCCAGACACTATTTTGTAGCTAATAATAGTAGTAGTACTAGCACAAAGAGCATAGCTAATTTTGTGAATCAGCTTAAAAACCAATAATTTTAATAAAAGGTCTATATTGCCTCTGCATTGTTCACTTTTTCCTGTCCTACCAATACAGTTTTCATATTTCAGAAACCTGTTGGTCCAGAGGATATGGGAGCAACAGCTGTATATGAACTGGACACAGAGAAAGAAAAAGATGCCCAAGCCATCTTTGAACGAAGCCAGCAAATCCAAAAGGTGAATATCTAACACACTTGTTCTGGGGTCTTACTGATCTTGTTTTTTTAATTTTTCACCTTTTCCATGTTTGTCCCCAGAAGTATGCCGCTAAGATTCTTTTTCTAATCACTTGAACACATTCAACATCTTCTTCCTTTTGCATTTTCATCTTCAGGTATAGCACTGCAATATTTTAGCCTTCCTTACTGTTTTAGCTAAGCTTCCTGCTGTCTCCTTGGTCTCATCTCTCTGCTATCCTATAAATTGTATTCTTCACTTTCTACCACTCTTGGGGATGGTTCACGGCACCCAGGTGTAGAAATTAACAGCATTTGCATTAGGTGGTCATCTGTGAGCAAAAGGCAGATCTAGTGTCAACCAAGCTGCCTTGCTGTTAAGATTATTTTTAACTCACTTTCTCTTTTCAGGAACTCCGAGGAAAGGAAGATGATAAGATTTACCGAGGGATCAATAATTACCAAAAGTATGTGAAGCCAAAAGATACATCCATGGGGAATGCCTCTTCAGGTATGGTAAGGTAAGGCAGAAATGGTGCTAAGGCAGCCTCCATTTATTCTGTATTCTTAACAGAGTTGAAGTATCTTGTTGAGATAATTAGCCAACACACACAATATTTTTAGTATCAAGAATGGTGTTCTCATTCTAAGAACAAACCTTCTGGCCTTTCCAGAAGTGCATGCACGCACACAGGAATGCACTCTTAGCTTGCTCACATTTTGTTAGGTAACAGCTTAGTATTAAAGTGGATTTAACTGACATTATTATCATTTTATGTACACAGGATATTCAGCATTGTGAAGGTACAAAGTATTTTTACTGTGTCAGTGAATAAAACCAAACTGGTACTTTCTGATTGCATGAGTGTGCAGACCCATCAGTCAAAACTTGGTAGAAGCACCTTTGCCAGCAACTACAGCTGCAAGTCTTTTTGGCTAAGTCTCTATCAGCTTTGCACATCTGGATGCTGGAATGTTTGTCTATCAGGTTGGATGAGGACCATAGGTGAACAGCAACTTTCAAGTCTTATCACAGATTCTCAATCAAATTATACTCTGGGCTTTCACTGGGCCATTCTAAGGCATTCATGTTCTTCTTTTTAACCCAGTTCTGTGTTATTTTGACTCTGTTCAGAGTCCTTTTGCTAAAAAGAACTTCTGTTTCAGTCCCAGGTCTCTTACAGACTGAAAAAGGGTTTTCCTCTACAATAGCCCTATTCCATCCATCTCGCCCAAAGCCCTGACCAGTCCCCGTTGAGGAAAAGCATCTTCAGAACATGATGCTTCTACCACCATGATTTACCATGGTGTTTTCAAGGCAATAAACATTGTTGGCTTTGTGTACTCATAGCATTTTGCAGCAAGGCCAAAAAGTTCAATTTTGCTCTCAACGAACTAGAAAACATTGTTCTACATGTGTGCTGTGACTCCTGCATGGCATTTTGCCAACTCCTAAAGGACTTTGATTTGGGTTTATTTCAGCAATGGCGTTTTTCTTGCCTCTCTTCCATAAAGTCCAGCTTTGTGAAGCATCCAGATCAGTGGTCCTTAGACCTTTTTGGCCTGCCACACCCTTTTCTTCTGGGAGACAACCCTAGCGCCCTCCCCACCTTTTTCTTTATATTCTGTCTATTGCTCTACTGCAAATTTAAAAGAACCAGTCACTGCCCCCCTGGATCTTTCCACAATCCCCCAGTGGGGTGGTATCGCTCACTTGGGGAATCACTGATCTAGATGATAGTGATAGCTGCAGATCTCTGCAGCTCATTCAGAGTTTCCATTAGCCCCATGGTTGCCTCTCTTACTAATGCCCTTCTTAAATTAAAACAAATGATATGGGGCTTTATTCTTTTTGTCTTTTATTGTTCACTGCTCCAGAAACTGTTTAGATGTGGAGTGGTATATAAACATGGTTTCAAAACATCTGCTTTTAATTATTTATAAATTGTAAAGCCTCCTCTTAATCAGTTTCTCTGCCCATCAAATCTCTGTTTTCCTGCAAAACTACTTAATTCAAAAAAGTCTGCCTTGTCCTGTTGCAGTCTCACAATGTTTTCTTTTTTTGACCCTTTCCCATCTTCTTGCTGCTCCATTATACTTTGTCCTTTCTTTATACCTCACAATTGGGTAATTGTTTCAAGTTTCTACTCCTCGTTTCAGGAAGGGACCCATTCGAGCCCCAGAGCATCTCAGGGCCACTGTGCGATGGGACTACCAGCCTGACATCTGTAAAGACTACAAAGAAACTGGATTTTGTGGCTTTGGAGGTGAATATATCTTTCATATAATTTTCTAACAATAAATCTATGTAATGATGTACCCCACTAAGGGAATACTGCAATACTATGTTATATGCACAAATGTAGGAAACTACTGACAAACACCCTCACTTCTGTCCAATTGTGTTTCCTGTAGACAGCTGCAAGTTCCTCCATGACCGATCGGACTACAAGCATGGCTGGCAAATTGAGCGGGAGCTGGATGAGGGACGCTATGGGGTTAATGGTATAAGCATTCCCTTTTCTCTTGCTTGCTGTTGTTACATGGTTGTTCAGTAGCTTAAGCAATTGGATGAAAGAGTAGGAAGCTTGCTTTTCACATCTGGATGGGACATTTCAAAGTGTGTACAGAAGAAGTTTAACATTAAAGATGCCCTTTTCTGTTGCACATATGAAAGAAAGTTCTTAGGTGAAAAACATACCAGCCTGTATTAGAGGCTAGTTTTGAAGTTCTAGTATAAAGTGCGATAATGCATTATTAAAATATTAATAGACCACATTTTGGCACTATGATCCTCATGAAGATTTTTACATCTCGTGTCCTTCTAAATGTCCAGTTTCATCTTTAATATAAATAATGTCTTTTCTTTTTAAATTATCTTTAAACTTCCTATGTTTGTAATGATAATTCTCATGCCCCCAGATTGTACAATACCAAGATACTTCTACCTTTGAATGCTACTGATTTTGTACTTCAGTCACTTTCCAGAACTGGGTTAAATTCCTTACTATCTGCATTTGGGACCTATTGTCCAAGTACAGTTGAGTTTTAATTATAATAAGACTAAAGTTCAGCATTCTTCAAAATTAGATCACAATTCAAATGGTGTTTAAATGGCAATATATAATAAATTTCCAATATAAAATATCTAGGCATACAAATGCAAAGTACCAAAGCACTCCACTTGTTACCTCTCCCTGGTCTGAGAAGGTGCCATTGAGTCAGGTTCTGTAGTCAACTGTGGATCCACCTAATAGTTATTCTATCTAAACTATTTTTAACTAGTTTACTAATTGGGATATCATGGGGCACTTTGTCAAAAGGTTTGCTGCAGTCAAGAAAGATTATATCCACAACATCCCCAGAGTCTACAAGAGAGGTTATCCAACCAAAAAATGAAATCAGATTAGTCTGGCAAGTCTGATTAGTCTTGATAAATCCATCTTGACTTCCAGCAATCACTACATCGTTTTCAAGCTGTTTGTGTGACCGATATAAAACGGTCCTTGCTCTAGTAAAGAGGAGACTTTTAGGCTTCACAGGAAACCCTTATCAAAGAGAGGCTGAAAGCCAGATCTGGTTTTAAACACTATGCATGTAACATTTATTCTATGATATAAAGAAGTAACAATGAGAACTGGACACGGAACCACTGATTGGTTCAAAATTGAGAAAGGAGTTCAGAAAGGAGAAAGGCTGTATACTGTCGCCCTGCCTATTTAACTTATATGCAGAGCTCATCATGAGAAAGGCAGCGCTAGATGAATCACCAGCTGGAATTAAGATTACTGGGAGAAATATCAACAACCTCAGATATGCAGATGATACCACTCTCATGGCAGAAAGTGAAGAGGAACTAAAGAGCCTCTTGATGCAGGTGAAGGAGGAGAGCGCAAAAGTTGGCTTGAAACTCAACATTAAGAAAACTAAGATCATGGCATCCAGTCCTCTCACTTCCTGGCAAATAGATTGGGAAGAAATGGAGGTAGTGACAGGTTTTATTTTCCTGGGTTCCAAGATCACCGCAGACGGTGACTGCAGTCAAGAAATTAAAAGGCGCTTGCTCCTGGGGAGGAAAGCTGGCAAATCTAGACAGCATACTAAAAAGCAGAGAGATCACCCTGCCAACAAAGGCGCGTATAGTCAAGGCTATGGTTTTCCCAGTCATAATGTATGGCTGTGTATGGTTGCAATGTATGGCTTCCTTATGGACCATAAGGAAGGCTGAGTGCCAAAGAATTGAGGCCTTTCAATTGTGGTGCTGGGGAAGATTCCTGCGAGTCCCTTGGACTGCAAGGTGATCAAACCGGTCAGTCCTAGAGGAGATCAACCCTGACTGCTCTTTAGAAGGCCAGATACTGAAGATGAAACTCAAATACTTTGGCCACCTAATGAGAGGGAAGGACTCACTGGAGAGGACAGTGATGCTGGGGACAATTGACTGCAAAAGAAGAAGAGGACAGCAGAGAATGAGGTGGCTAGATGGAGTCACTGAAGCAGTCGGCATGAGCCTAAGTGGATTCTGGGGGATGGTGGAGGACAGGAAAACCTGGAGGAATGTTGTCCATGGGGTTGCAATGGGTTGAACACGACTTCGTGACTAACAACAAAATAAAGAATACAAATGTATAAGAATAAAAGTTCAGCAATCAGCAACAATATCAAGAGAGGCCTCATTCACACTCACATTCAATACACACAACCAAAGGACCCTTCTCCAGCGGTGATCAAGCATTGGCAAGGGCTGTGGGTGACCAGTTGCAGCGCTGTCCTGGCATACACAGGAGCTGGAAAGCCCAGGCATTTTACGCCTCAAAGAGTTTATGCTATCAGCTTGAAAAGTGAGCTCATTTGAGTAAAAAACAGACGCAGGATGTACTGGTCTTCCCTTATCTTGGAAAAACATGTTCACCACATTCCATTCTCTCTCTGGATGGTACAGGGAGGGCTTATCTATTACGTTCCATTCTTCAACCACTCCTGGCTTCAGTCCTGCTGTGCAAAAATACCGCAGTCCTGGTCAGTCCCATCCTGCTCCTTGACTCTCCATTTTCTTCTGGGTCTCTTAGGCCTTCAGGAATACATGCACACTGTAACATTTGCAAGTTTCAGTTTTACCTATCAGGTCGTATTCACCCTCCAGCATTAAGAGTTCATGTTTGTGCTGTTAGTTTCCCATACTTCAGGCATTAGTAAATCAACATCAAAGACCATGTGCTTTCAAGTGTAGCTTTCTGCCTACATATTTTTAGAAAACTATCATTGTGTGCAATTAGAGCTGCTCTCTCCATTGTGCTGCATCAGCCTTTGCCTATTGTTACCCCCAGGTGTACTTCTGCCTTCTCTGTAGGATTCAGTTTAAAGCTCTCTTGATAAGTTTCCAGTCCAGTCCAGTCCACCTCATGCCTCACCACCAGTCCATCTTCCAGGTAGTGTAGTCCAGAATCCAAATCCCTCATGTTGACACCACCTTTGTAGCCCAGCATTCATCCAGAGTATTTTTCTTTCCCTTTTTATTCTTCCAAGAACTGGAAGGATTGAAGAGGAATGTATCTGAGCCCCAGAGTTCTCGACTTTCCTCCTGAAACCTCAAAGTCTGATGTGATTTCTTCAAAGTTCCACTTGGCAGTGTCATTTGTCCCCACTTGGATAAGAAGGAAGGAGTATGTGTCAGTGGGCTTGGCGAGCCTCCCTTCAGGGAGACAGCATATCTGACACATCCACGGGTCTTCATGACATATCTGTGTTTCCATCTCACACAGTAGGGAGTCTCCCACAACTAATACACTTCTTATTCTTGTAGGCCTTGGTATCATTGCCACAGCTTGACTCTTGCTTCATGTTGCATAGGATGATTTGTAGTTTTTCCACTGCAGGACCCCCCTCTGATCTCATCCTCAAGTACCTAAAAGTGGTTGCAGAGTACCACTGCTTTTACTGGTGCAGACTGTTCTAATTCTTCTGCACCTGTCATTTGCTTCCAGAGATTTTCCTCCTCATTTTCCCTTCCCTCAGGATTCTCCTCTTCTGCCTCAGCTTGCTGCTGCTCTTCCATCTCCTGTACTATGCTTACCTGTTTTAGTTTCACTGCTGTATCTAAAAACTCTAATATTCCCTTCTTGGTGGACACTTGCTGCTCTAGTGCTCTCCCTTTTTCTTCCAACATGGCTACTAGTTCACCCTTGTTGCATGTGTGGGCCATGTTGACTTCAGGCAAGAAAACAAGCATTGCACAGACATTGCAGGTGTCACTACCAGTGGGGAGTCTTCTCAGTTCATAGTATCCACTTCCTTTTTCATTCTATTGTAACAGCCTGTGCTTTCTTCTGTCTTCCACAGAGTTAACATCAGATTCCACTCTGCCTTTGTCTCCTCTTCTATTACAACTCTGCTGCCAAACTCCTCTTAGCTTAGCTATATAGAAAATCCCCAGACCAGGTGGGGCAGCTTCCTCTGCTCTGCTCAGCCACAAGTCAGGAACCAGGAACCAGATTGAATCTCCCCATCCACACGGATGCTAAAAGTAACCAGGTCACTCCCTTCAGATGCAACTGTTAGGAGCCCATGGAGAGCACACAGTCACAGTGGATGGACTACTCCAGGCTGCTCACCCCCTCTGCCTCCACCTCTGCCTCCTCTTCAAGTACAACTCTTCTGTCAAACCCCTGTTAGCTCCTTCTTGTTTACTTACTCTGTGGGAGCTACCTTGCTTGTATAGAAAGTTGCCAGACTAGCTGGGGCAGCTTCCTCTATGTTCAGCTCAGAGTCAGGAATTATTATTAATTTCACCCTGAATACTTGAGTGACATTCAGCATGATTGTGCCTTTTCATACCATGATATTTTTAGGAAAAGGGTATTTGCTTGGTGGAGCTGCACTAGTAAAGGCACCTTTTGTTTCTGCAGCTGTTAAAAGTAGGTGGGTGGACAGGAGGGTTCAAGAGAAGAAAGAACAAGAGCAGATGGCTTGAGTGGGTGGTTTAACCAGTGCATCTAGCTTAGTATTTTTGGCATATGTGTTGGTGCCTGGATGTTAAATGTTGCTTATTCTTAGGAAGAACATTTTCCTACGCAGAGTAGGCAGGCAAGTTTCATCCTAGTATAGGTAGCAACAGAAACATGCAAATAGTACCTCTCTTCTGTAGATGATGAAAACTATGAAGTCAGCAGTGATGAAGATGAATTGCCCTTCAAATGTTTCATCTGCAGAAACCCCTTCAAGAACCCTGTGGTAACCAAGTAAGAATGCTGGATGACCTCATTTTTCTGCCGTCAACCCTTTGACATTTTCAAACAGAACTATGTCAGTATCTCTTCTGGGGGGTGGGCTTAAAATATTTTAAGATTCCACAACAGTACAGATAAATGATAAGCATGCAGTAACCTAAGTTCTAGGTTGTTCTTGAAGAGATCTGCTGGATCAGGTCAAAGACCCATCTTAGTGCAGCATTACAAGTCAGAAGGGGCCTCCAGGGACATCTAGACTGATCCCGGCACAAGCCAGTTCCACTCATGTAATGTCCAATCTGTGTTCCCTTGTTAAAGCTTTCAAACTGGTGGTCATTGCTGCATCTTGTGGTAGCGTATTTCATAGTTTAACAATGGTGTGTGTGATGTACTTTCCTCTGTCCTGAATGTTCCACCATTTAGCTTCATAGGATGACCATGGATTCTAGTATGATAAGAAAGGACCCCTATTAATTTTCTCCACATTTTATAGATCTATCTTGTTTCCCTTTACTCAGCTTTCTTCAAAGCTAAAGAGATCCAAATAGAATAATAGAATAGTAGATATTGTAACCTTTCCATAAAGAGTAGTTGATGTAGCCCTTTGATTAGTTGGGTTGCCCTTCTCTTTGCAATATGAACTTGACACAATGTGGTAATTGATTGAAATGCAAGGTCAAAACTTTAGAATTAAAAATCTCCAAGAAACTTTAAAGAAATGCTCTCTGTTAGGAATCTACAGAGCTGACTCTTATTTAATGCTTTTTCAGGTGCAAGCATTACTTTTGTGAGAACTGTGCTTTGCAGCATTACCGCAAATCTCAGCGATGTTATGTATGTGACAAGCAAACAAATGGAGTCTTCAACCCAGCCAAAGGTACACTGTCTAATGTTGGCATGGGGCACTGTAGAACTTGTATTATACTATGATAGGGGTGGGCACCAGTAATACAATGTAGGGCTGGATGATTCCATTGACAGGTTCTGTGACGGGGGCTGTATGTCATACCCAGATACTAAAAGGGGAAGGACCAGAGCCCCTGCCAGGAACCAAATGACATTGTGCTTTTGATGTGGCTGCCAAAGCTTCCCCTGCCCTGTGCCTTCTCCATATGGTGAGAGGACGTAGTGCAGGTGAAGCTGCCATGCTTCTAATCCCCTTATTATCCTTGATCACAGATCTCCCCCCTGCCCCCAGTGGCATCCAGAGTGAGGAGAGGGTGCCCCAGAGATCAAGCCTGATCATAGAAGAGCTTGACAGCAACATGGAGCGCTAAGTGTGACAGCTGTGATCCTCTTATTTAGCAGCAGTATTTTTCATGGTGAAAAGGGCTGGGTTTTTCCTGGTCCCAGTGGACAGCTCATGTGGTGATACAGTCCCTGAACAGTTTTGCCAGAGATTTATTATTATTATTATTATTATTATTATTATTATTATTATTATTAGAACATTTCTATGCCGCCCCTTGCCGAAACCTCGGGGCGGCTTACAACACAACACAATACAATACAATACAAAAATAACAATATAAAATTAATAATATAAAATAAAAAATATAAACGATATAAAAGGAGTTAGAAAAGTTAGAAAAGAAAAGAAAGGAAAAGAAAAGAAAAGTCACCCTGGCCAGATAAATAAGTAAATATTGTTAACAATTAAAATGACGTTTAAATAAAAAGGTCTTCACCTGGTGCCGAAAAACAAATAACAATGGCGCGAGGCGGACCTCTCTGGGGAGCACATTCCATAGATTGGGCGCCACCGCAGAGAAAGCCCTCCTCTTGAGTACCTACCCTCCTAATTTCTTTCACGGAGGGTTCCCGGAGAAGGGCCTCTCCCGCAGATCTCAAGGGGCGGTCGGGCATATATGGATGTAAGCGCTCCTTCAGGTAACCAGGTCCCAAGCCATTTCGGGCTTTATAGGTCATAACCAACACCTTGAATTGGGCCCGGACTTCAATGGGGAGCCAGTGAAGCTGACGGAGAACTGGAGTCATGTGAACATAACGCCCAGTCCCCGTCAGCAACCTGGCAGCTCTATTTTGAACCAATTGAAGTATCCAGACCATCTTCAAGGGAAGCCCCACGTAAAGCGCGTTACAGAAGTCAAGGCGGGAAGTCACCAACGCGTGTGTCACCGTCGCCAGGCAGTCGTACTCCAGGTAGGGGCGCAGCTGATTAATCAGCCGAAGCTGAAGGAAAGCGCTCCTCGCCACCGCTGTCACCTGAGCTTCCAGTGAAAGCTCTGGGTTGAGGAGCACTCCCAAGCTGCGGACCTTGTCCCTAAGTGGGAGTGCAACCCCATTCAGGGCCAGGTCAAATCCACCCTCTCCGAATGAAGAAGCTAACTGTCCCTGCTTTATTACTCAAATTTCATTCACAATTTCCAAAAAGAAAATAAAAAGTAGGTCAATAAGTCAGAAATTATAGAACAGACCAAAAAGACAGTGAGATCTGGAGGCAGAATCTGCAAAGGGTGCAAATTAAGTCACAGAAGCCTACGTGGAGCTACCCTTGAAGACGGTCCGGATACTTCAATTGGTTCAAAATAGAGCTGCCAGGCTGCTGACGGGGACTGGGCGTTATGTTCACATGACTCCAGTTCTCCGTCAGCTTCACTGGCTCCCCATTGAAGTCCGGGCCCAATTCAAGGTGTTGGTTATGACCTATAAAGCCCTAAACGGCTTGGGACCTGGTTACCTGAAGGAGCGCTTACATCCATATATGCCCAGCCGCCCCTTGAGATCGGCGGGAGAGGCCCTTCTCCAGGAACCCTCCGTGAAAGAAATTAGGGTGGGTACTCAGAGGAGGGCTTTCTCTGCGGTGGCACCTAAGTTATGGAATGCGCTTCCCAGAGAGGTCCACCTGGCGCCATCGTTGTTTTTCGGCGCCAGGCGAAGACCTTTTTATTTAAGCAGCATTTTAACTGTTAATATTATCGGATTTTATATGGCCAGGGCAGCGTATTTTATATTGTATTTTGCATTTTTATCTAATTTTTATATTTTTTAATTTATTATTATAATTATTTTTAATTTACTATTGTAAGCCGCCCCGAGGCTTCGGCGAATGGGGCGGCATAAAAATGTTTAAATAGATAGATAGATAGATAGATAGATAGATAGATAGATAGATAGATAGATTCACCTGTTGCTGAAAGAGTAAGCCAGGCAACAGGGAGGGCATTCCATACTTGGTGTGCTACCTCTGCCAAGCCTTCCCCCTGGTGGTCAGATGCTGTATCCCAGATAGCAGGGCCCCCTTGCAGAAAGGTTTCAGCAAAAAATGTTATGCACAAAGAAGCTGGCTGTATCTCCAGTATCGTGGACCTAAGCAGTAAGTTATCCCATCATCATACCTATTTCTCCAAGATAATTTGGCACAAGTGATTGTGTCCTCATGTTCATTTGCTTCAGTCTAGAAATTTGTACTTTTTTTTTAACACAAAAGGCCCAATTCTCCATCCTGGGATAGGAACACCCCTGCTTGTGAAGACTGAGAAAAGGGAGGATTTACTTTTCAATGTAAATTATTTGGGTATGTCATGGTATGAAGTCTTATTCTGATTTTATCTTTTTTATTCTTTTCAGAACTGATGGCAAAACTGGAAAAATACAAGGTCCCTGAGGAAATCCTAGATAATGTTGAAGAACCAGAGTAACATTATGCTATCATACCTAATTCTCCCATTCCACACACACTCTTTCCAAAGTTAGTTCTATAGGTGAATAAATAACTTCTAGGAAAATGAGTTGGCTGTTGTGTTATGCTTCTGAATAAATGGGGGTTGTAGCTTTATTTGTGTTACATCCAGCAGGAATAGCTAAACCTCAGGCTTCTGGGTTCTACCAGCTCATTTGCTATCACCCCAAGATCCAGCAAGAGGATCATGGAGAAATGCAAAACACACATAGAATTAGAGAATGTTGGATCTAATAATTTATTTTCAGTACCAGAAACAAATGGAGTTCATAGTTCTTTCATGCTAAAAAAAACTATTTCTGCTCATCCCAAGCTTCCTTCATTTCTAGTATAGTGTAGAACCCCAATAGACTGGGGGATGATAAATGCATGCTACTCTACTATGACTCACACCTATCTTCTACCAGTTCCTGACATAAAGCACCTAATACTAAATAAAACAGTTCTTATTTTATTCTTATTTTGGGGGAGCCATTCTATTAGAGAACCTTCTGTATCCTGACACTTTACATCTAGTAGAGATTATGTTTGCCTAACAGCTTGTATTCCATCTCAAGATTCATACAAACATTTGGCCTCTAGCATCTTTTCTCCTTCTCACTACTGTTCTGCTTCATTTCTAGTCAGTCTTCCTCAGCTTGGTGTGTTCAAGCTATTTTGATTACAGCTCCCAGAATTCCTGAGCATTGAGGCTGATAGGGCTTGAAGTCCTAAACATCTGCAGGGCATCAGGCTGGGGAAGGCTTACTGAGCCTCGACATTTTAATTGACTCTACAACTCTAACTTTTAGATGTTTAAGAAATGCTAGTTTCATCTGAAAAGCCAAAAGCAAGGCATTCCCTTCAAAGGATCACCCCACCACATTACCTCTATTCTGCTTCAATAAGAGAACTTTAATGGAGAGGAATAGTTGAACTAACTTATGCTTCCAATTAGAAGCAAAGCCTTTGCGCAGGGCAGTATTCACTGCAGGGTGAACAAAGCAAGACAACAAAATGCAGAAATATTTTATTGGCAACAAAACTAGAAAAGCAAATGTGTCTTGGGTTCAAGTACAGCTTTAAACATGCACACAGACCTGTAACTGATCCAGCCAACCAGATGCAAAAAGGGAACCCATTAAAGGAAAGGGGAAAAGACCTTACTACACACTTTAGGATAAGAAACTAGTAAACACTTAACACCCATTCCAAAAAGGGTGAGGAAGATTATGGCAAAGATAACGGATACAAACATTTAGGGTCCAAATTTAGTCATACATATAAGTAAAATTGTAATCAACTGGACACAAGTTTCCTAGTTAAGACTAATTTAGTCCCACTCATTTCCAAGATACAACTAAATCTGTAACCAACATATGGTATCTTCATATGCCAGACAAGTTAGGAGACAGCCGTTCTTGGACTTGCAACCTCACTGTTAAACAAGTCTTCAAATGCATTAGCTGATGGAAGGGATATGTAAGATTTTTGACTAAAAGAAGTGCACAGCACTCAGTCTTACTTAGATCCACAGAAGGAACAATAACAACAGTAAATTAGAGAAGGCAGCTCAGCTAAAAAGTACTGAGCCCTGCCCTCAGACTTGCAGTTGGCATTTACAGGTATAGTCTACCATCCCCATCCAATCTTGCTTAACCAGAAAAAAGTAGAAAGGGCTGGTGGGAAGAATTCTAGATGTGACCAAGCTCAGCTTGAGATATAATGCTACCCCATAACTGGTCTTGCAAAACAACTGATTTTCCACTGGTGATTTTACAAGCAAGATTACTTTGTGAGCAGTAGGTGAACATCCCTTTGGATCAGCATAGTACAACAAAGGATGTTAACATCATTTTTTCAGAAGCAGCAACCCTGCAAGAGCATACAGAGAGTAAGGAGAACAGGTTCACCTGAAGTCCACTGCTAAGGCAGTCATATCTTAATCTGACTAGAAGTCTCCAGCCCCATATTTTTACTATGCATTTTCTCCTCCCTCAATCTGTTCCTTGGCCTTACTATAGTGGAAATATCTAGATCGCCTTCCTAAGGAAGAAGTAAACTACAGCACTAGCATTCATCATGGCTTTGTGAGAAACATATGGCGGGGGTTATTAAATTAGGGTACTAAACATTTCTAGGAGAGCTTTTATACTTGTATATCCTTTCTTCTTTCTTCTTCTAGAACTCCCAATCATCCATATCAAGCTGTTCCAGATCAGAAACCAGTCCAAAAATAAGACTAGGATCATCTGCTTGAATGCTTTCAAAGCTAGTGATTGGTGTGACTGGATATAGCAGTTCAGGAAGTGCTTCTGATACCCGGCGTTTGATCTGGAAAACAGTGAGAAGATAGTTGGAAATGCAATTGAGCTGTTCTCACATTCCACTTTTATTGTGCAAGGGTCCTAAAGCAGTCCTTTGACTTTCTGGATATCCACAGCACATGCATGGAATAAGGTATATTAATTTAAAATAAGTACCTTTTCTTTCACTGAAAGAATAAAGTAGGATTCTAGCTTTCAGTATTTCCCTGGCTATCAAAAACATAGGGCAGGGTTGTTTTTGTCATGCCTTGCTTGGGGGTTTCTTTGCAGCATCTGGCTGGCCACTGTCAGGAACAGGATGCTGGACTAGATGGATCAGACAGGGCCTCTCTTACATGAAAGACAAAAAAAGATGTGTAGCAGATGTGCAGAAAACTCAGAAATCAAGTAGAGCTTTGGGAAGGGCTCTCAATGATACAGTTTCATCACCCAGTCACCTGTCCACACATAGCTCTTACTATTTCCACCACCACACCACATCATACCACTAAAATCTATCCCTGTCCTACATTTTACAATATTCTTGATATAATGTACTTTGGGAGGGGGGGAAGCACAAACACCCTTAGCAATTCCCTTAAAGGAATCCTTGACTGATGAATCGGTTTTAGGTTTAGTGTGCATGTAATTAAAAATAGTTAAATATTTCATTAGAAAGTGGGAGAAATTCATCATGCTTTGTGCAACCTAGGCATCAGGAGAGATAGAAGAGAACCAGTCCAGCTCAATGATACAAAATAAACTCTTTGAAGTTTGGCTCTTCAAAACATTAGACAACTTAAGAAAATGCTTCCACAGACTACTTGCCTCCTTTGCAAATTTATGTCACAAAATAGGCTAGATGTCGGGTATGACAAGTTCCTTTACCACAACATATTATTATTTGTTTGAGGTTAGTAGCCAGCTGTAAGGCTGTTCCCACAAAATATGCAAGATTGTATGCATTTCCCAGATAGGAAGACAAAATGCACTCAGTGGTTTTAGTTTACTGAATTGAATTTTGGCCTGTGTTTCTATGCTTTACTGAGTAGACATTTGCACCAGCAAGTTTAGAAGAAAAGACATTATCTTTCACTCTTCTGCCACCCACTTTAGTTGTCACAGTTCATAGCCAATGACAAGCAGAGAAGGAATCACCATAATTCTGAAATGGAGGAACCAAAAAACACTTGTTGTTCATAATGTTTTTCTCCCTCCACTCATTCTTTAAACTAACCCATTTTCCTTGGTCTTCCTTCTCAGCCCCTACATTAAAGTTTCCTAATTTTTGAAAAGTGTACTATGAAAAATGACAGTGCAAATCAAGAACAGACAGAGTACAGAACTCCAGGACAAGCTTCACAACAGAGTACGCAACCAGTTACAGAAGGAGAGGTCGCCTCTCTCACTCTCCCATCCCCATAGTTCCAGGAGCCCTCTCTTTGCTAACATGAAACAATGATGGAATACTACTGGGATGAGAAAGTACATTGATTTACCTGTTTGAAAAAGGAGTGGTTGAGCAGTGCACTTGCACTTGGCCTGTACAAGAGAAACAGAGGAGCGTCAACACGCAAAAGGCACAAACTTGTCACAAGGCAGTATTTTCTTCCCTCCTCAGCATATTCAAGTTTTAAAACTAGCAAGCTCAGCTTCTGCTGAGAGCAGAATGGGATAAATACAAATATGAGTGACTGTGAAAACTCATGTCTGTTACCCGTGTTTCCCTGCTTCACAATCATGTAAATTGGGTTCACCCATCTCCATGAAGCGTGATGCTCATGCCATCCCACTTTGGGACACCTATTGCAAGATTATTCAAAGAATTGTGGGGAACAGGAAGCTCAAGGTATGAGCAGTTCCTGGTCCACCTGCATTCTATACCATCCGAAGCCAGCTTCCTTTCTATCACTTTAGCCCAGCTGTTTTCAGAGCAATCTGTGAGTCTGTCTCACAGTGGTTCTGCTTGCATGGAAATTAATGATCTCTTTCTTCCTGTCATATCTCATGCAAAACCATGCTAACTCTGCACAAATTTCAGAGAATGCTTACATGCTCTGTATTACCTTGCACATACAAGCACAGCAATTTTGATGCCTTCTCTTAATTGCCCTCCTTGGCCTACCAGGACTATGAAAATTGGTTTACAGAGACAGGCAGACATTACGTCAAGCATCTATTAACCAGTTCCTGTAAGATGTTTAGCTCTGCTCCCACTCCCAACACTTTGCAATTGCCATATAACTTATCCAGGGACTGTTCAGGCCATCCATATTCTGGAGACAGAACCTAGAATAGAGGATATGGATTCTAGTATAATCCAAAGCCCCACCAGCATTTGAAGAGTGGAGAAAGACAGGTTTCCAGAGTCCTCAGTAGGACAGGAAGATATTGATAGATAGTACATAGATCTCCCATCTCAAATAGGGAATGCAAGATTCAAGCTTTTTTCACTCTACGATTCCTTTGTTCCTGCTATACCTCAAGTCTGGATTCCTTTGCAGGCACTGCTCCACAAAATGGTGGAAGTAGGGCGAGAAGGTCCGATGGTATGGATGTAGTACTGCCTCACCATTAGAGGCCCTAGCACTGCTGGCTGCCATGCCTTCCCCAAGACCTGTACTGGCCCCAGAACGTGACGGTTTCATGGTCAGTTCCTCAGGAGGGATAGTCGTTGTGTCCAGAAGGCAAGGGACAGTGCCATTGAGCTTCTCCAAAAGCATCTGAAGAATGAGAATGCAGGCAGGTAAGTTTGGCTGACTTTTCACTTTTCACTCGCACTGCAGTTATTGTCACAGTGATTTTAGCTTTCTGATATGCAACGGCCAAGGGGCAGAGGCATAAGGAAAGCAAAATGCCCTACCTGAGTTGCAGGCATATCCTTGAAAGGAACATGGCCATTTGCCAGCTCACAGGCTGTTATTCCTACACTGTAAATGTCAGATTTTGCATCATACCCTTGAAGATTCTAAAATCAGAAAATAAAAATTGTCATATTTAACATTTTGGGATCCCATTTAAACTAAGAAGGTAAGAAATTAAACAATTCATTACAACTACCACCTCTGACCCCAAGTATTTATAGATGTGTTTAGTTTTTCTCCCATATTTGACAAAAAGAACATGATGAGCTATTAAATAATGGAGGAAGAGGGAGACACTTTTTAAAGTACAGGCCTTCTAGTGCAGGAGTTCCAGGTTATCTTAGAAAAACTAAGCAGAAAAGTAAACATGGGCTGCACCTACTCAGAAAACAGTATAAAGCAGGTGTGATGCATAGCCATCTTAAATGTACAACTAGGTCTCTTCCTCCAATAACTCATGTTTGCAATGGGATACATTTTGCAAGAGTTCATCCTATACAGAAAAAGGCAAAGAAACAGAGAACATGAAAGAACATACCTGCTGCAAAACCTCTGGGCTTAGCCATGGTAGAACCTTGATGCTGTACTTAGGGAAATCATGAACCACTTTGAGACGCTGACCGTGACTGATCATGCTCAGGTTACTGCGCAGGCCAGAAAGATACACTTTCCCATCTGCAGAAATCAGGATATGACTGGCCTTCACACTCCTGCATGCAAAGAGGGTGGAGGGAAAGCAGCCATGAGCCTCCACCCACCCAAGCCTCCTCAGTTTTATATGAAGGAAAACAAATGTTTCCCATCTGAAAATAATATATTGCTCTGCCAGGCTCAAGTATGGAGTCATGGACAAACCCAGCAAGTGTTTAGCTACTGAGCTGGGGCAATATTAACTTGAACAGAGAGTACTTGAGTTAGATGCACTGTAAGTTCAACACCTCTGCTTATTTTGGAGAAAAAGCTGAAGCCCTGAAACTTCAAGTCAACTCAAATTCAAAATAAGACCCCTTAACACATGGGTCCTCAAACTACAGCCCATGGGCCGGATGCGGCCCGCCATGCCCATTTATCCAGCCTGCCTCAGAGGTTTTGGACTTGCCGCGCACGTGCTCACCGCCTCATCCCACACGCGCCCGCCACCGCCTCGCCTACACCCCCCCCCACCCCCTCACCGGCCTGCGCCCACCACCAGCACCTTTCAAATGGCCTCCTGTTGAAAAAGTTTGAGGACCCCTGCCTTAGCAGTTTGGATGCTAAGGCACAGAGTGAAGCTCTGCTCAGTTCTCCTTTGGCCTACTCATGTTATCAGTGCCATGAAGCTGTAAGACTTCTTGTGCTATCTCTTGGCACTACAATTTAAAACAGTATCAAACCAGTTTAACTGTCATGTCTTCCAAACAAGGAACCCTGGCCACTGTAGTTTTACAACAATTCTACCAATTTTAATAAAATCAATCTCACAGCAACTGTAACTCCTTGGTTCTTTTGGGGAGCCAAGACAGTAGCTTAAAATGGTGTTTTACTGCTTTAATGGCTAAAGCCTGGCTGACCTGTGGACATATCCCATGTGGTGGATGTAATCAAGGGCCTTCAGTACACCTTGGAGTATATAAGCCATAGCTAATTCACTCATCCCATCCATAAAATGTGTACAAATTAAATCTTTAGCAGAACCTATTGAGAGAGAGAGAGAGAGAGAGAGAGAGAGAGAGAGAGAGAGAGAGAGAATATGAATACAAAGTATTCCGACAATCCAGAAAAGTACAGACTCCTTGGCTTAATAGTTGCTTTTCCTGTTACTTTTGGGAGACACAGATATACATGTTAATTCCTTAAAATGTTAAGATAAAACACACACAACTATTTGTAAAAGTAGAGGAGCCTCTGCATATGTGTTCTGCCTCAATTTATTTTCTGTATTCATGCTTCTTGACTTTCAGTTTGATCAGCCAGTCCTGTATTAGTTTGGATGTGGCGTATCTCTAATTTCCTAAGAGCTTTCTACTCTTGATTTTCTTTCAAGTTGTCTCTCATGTTTTCAATGTGTGTTTCAGTGGGGTTTTTTCCACTTTATTTTTTGGTTATATACAGGGTGTGATGTCCTGAATCGACATTTGGGGACAAG